AAAATATATATATATATATATATGGGGAGGACACATCTTTCCAGGTCCAAATTCATTTGCTTCTGAACACACCAGGGCCTGATTTTTAAGTTAGTTTCCTTACTCCAACATTAATACTTCTTTGCTTGGTGATATAGAACAGAAACACAAGTCTTAATGGGCAAGCTATTTATCACTAATTCTACCTCACTTACAGGGTCCCTATCATTAACAAGTCAAACTGGTAGGTAGCTTGTCATCCCTTTTTTAAAAAGCCCCAACACAGCCAACCATATAGACTGATCTCTTTAATAAGTTTATTTTTGGAGCTTAAAGTAGAATCCAATGAGGGTATAATGCCGGGCTGACACGTTTTAAAATAAAACATTTTGGCCACACTAAAAAATGTCCAGATTAATGCAATACCCAGGTTCAGAAATGAAACATCAGTTGAACTCCACTATGCCACATCCATCCCCAATCTTTACTTCTTTCCCTTCTTCCTCCTGGAAGAAACCCTGCTTCTGAATTTTCTGTCACTCCCCTGCATGTTTTCACTTATTCCCTAAGTACATATATATTCTTAAGCAGTATAGAGTACGATTTCACATGTTTCTAACTTCATATAATGGTAGGTACTGTGTGGCCTTCAGCAACTTTATTTTTGGCTTAATATACTGTTCATGAAATTTAAGTATTGGTCATATATTAATAGCTCTAGTTCATTCATTTTCACTGCTGTATAACATTACATTGCATGAATATAGCACAAAGATCCCTGATGGGCATTTAGATTGCTTTTAAATAGGATAAAATTGTTTCCAGAGAAATGATACTCTGTTCTAGTACCAGACGGGAGAACACACATCAAAGACATTACAAAAAGAACCCCAAGGAACCTGCCTTTCTTCGACTCTCTCCAGCAACCTTGAACCAGCACCACTTCCTTGTTTCCTAGTTAATTTATATTCTGTCATTTTGCTGAGATAGCACCCATCTCCCCTCCCACCTTCTAGAATGGGACAGAGCTGATGTATCCCGGATCAATATAATGGAGGGCGATTCTTGACAGAGCCAAAGACAAGTGGCTGGTGAAGGCGGAATGTAAAAAGACAAGAAAAGTAGCCTACTACTTTTTTCTGTTCCACTGGTTATTAAACAAGTATTTTCCTAGAATGTCAATTGTGAGCTTTTAAATTTCCAAAATCCACAGTTAATCACTCTTGCAAAAAGCTGTGATAGCAGCTGGCCCTTTTCTCTCTAACTTTATGGTCTATGAAATAAGAAATGAAACCAAGAATAAGAAAGGTGGTAAAATTTTATGAATGCTTTTTAATACTATTTCTGGATCCAGTTAGTATAAAGCACAGTTTTGTAGTCAAAACTATAATATATCAAATAGCTACCATGAATACAATTTATTTGCCAGAATTCTATCAATATATTTTTAATATTCTTCAGCAACAATACCAAACAGCTCATCCTTGCACCCTAGTATTCTATCAATAGCAGGCAAGCTTCTCTAAGTATAGTACTACCAAATTCAATTTAAGAAATGTTCATAATATAGCCTCCCCCTTTTTGTAATTTTGGAGGAATCACTCACTCAGGTTTGGAGAGCATTTTTTCCAAGTTGAATTCTTTGAGGTATTTTATGATGGCAGCCAAAGAGCAAATCACAGGCTTCTCTAAGTTAACAATGCCAGAAATAATTTGAGAACCTAGAAAACAGAATATATTAACTTGTTATTAAAAAAAATTTTTTAATTAATCAAATTCAAAAATGTAATAAATAGAATCATTAACTTATTACCATTATGAAACACAAATTTTAAGTAAAACTTTATGGTTATTGAAATACTAATTTAGACAATATCTCCTAAAATTGACCTTTGGAGAAATGTAAATCATTACTAATACCCAGGGCATGGAAAAAAAGGACATTTTTCTGATGGTGGAATGAACCTTTTTTGGAGAACAGGGTATTTTTTCAAAACATAAAATGTCCATCCCTTTTGCCTAGAAATACTCCAAACTGCATGTCGAGGATGTGTGTACAAGAAGGTGACTTGAAAAATCTTTTGGAGTATTAAAAAAACTAGAGGCCACCTAAATCAACATTAACAGCATAGTACTTAAGTAAAGCTTGGTAAATCCTGGTTATTATGTACCAACTAAATGGAATGACTTCCAGTTATCTGCACTGATATAGAAGGCCATCTATAACATGTTGCTAAGTGGGGGAAAAAAGTTGTCTGATCATTTTCATGTCTCACCACAAACACTGCAACAGCTTTCCATCTGGCCTCACTGCTTCATCCTTGCACCCTACAGGGTATTCTTAACAGAGCAGCCAGAGTAATTCTTTTTAAAATGTATATCAGATCATTAGACTATTTTGCCCCAAAGTCCTCCAACATCCCCCAACTCATTGAGAGCAGAAGCCAAAGTCCTTACAGTGACCCTACACAATCTGCCTGCCATCTCTTCTTTATTTCTGAGCTCACCTCCTAATGTTCTCCCCATCAGTTACTCTGCTCCAGCACACAGACTACTTGCTATTCCTTAAACATGCCAAGCACCCTCCTACCTTAAGATATTTTGTGCTTACTGTTGTCTCCGCTTGAAATACTGTTTCTTCATGTCTATGTGGCTTTTTCCCTTAACTCCTTCAGTCTCTATTCAAATCTTCGTTCAAGTGCCGTTTCTCAGTGAGGCCCTTCTTCACCATCCTATTTAAAAGTTCAACCCACTCCCCTGCCTTATTTTTTTCATAGCATATATCACCTTCTAACACACTAGTTTACTTTATTGTCCATCTCTCACCATTAGAATGTAAACTCCAAAAGAGCAGGAATTTTTGTTTGTTTTATTCCTTATTGTATGCCCAATGCCTCGCATATAAAATAAGCATTCAAAAAAATTAGCTGAACGAATAAATCCCAGCTATGATAAACAAATACAGAGAACTATGTGTGTACATTTATGTGTGGATGTGTGGATTTTTACACAAGGATATATGCCAAATTTTAATGATAATCCCTCCGACATATAAGCGGCAAGGGCAGAGGACAAGTTTGAGGGCAGGCACTTTACTTTTTTCTTTATATACGACTATGTTGTTTGACTTTCTTGCAATAAGCATTAATTACTTTTAAAAGTAAAAAAAATATATATATTACAAGATGTTCTCTACAAATCAGTAATATAAAATATCTTATTAATTTTAACTACAGGTGTTTATAAAACCAGAGTGTAAATGAAGTGCTAACACCACCTTTCCGTTCCACTGAGAATTTTATTTTCTTTTAACTTTCTAGCTTTGTTCCCCAGAAAAGGTGATTAAGATGGTGTATCAATGTGTTAGAAGTAGCACTGCCTGTGGTAAAAATGACCAAATATCAGTACATTATATCTGGACTGAGAAGAATTATAAATACCTGACTTCAGAGCTTTGGCCTTCTCTCAGTGCACTGACTTTTGCAACCGGGCATGTCTTTTGCAGAGACTGCAGCAAGAAATACGGTCTCCTCAAGGGCATGGAGCTTCTAAGCCAGGGTGGCGCTTATGCTCACTCGATGTGAGTCTCCTTCCTTCATACTACTCTCCAGGGCACTGCCACAAAGACTGCTGTGAGGACTATCCCACTAAGGGGAACACAAGCTCCACTTGCAAGGTGTGTTTTCTGGCCCATGTCTTTTAAGTAAATCTGATACCACGAATGGGTCATCGTAGTCTTGGGATTTAATCAGGTCTTTAGCTGAACATAAGATGACCCCCTGGTAATACTGAATACTGGTGTTAGAAGTGGGGTACACTTTGTTGGGCATGGTGGCTCATGCCTGTAATCCCAGCAACTTTGGCAGGCTGAAGTGGGAGGATCGCTTGAGCCCAGGAGTTCAAGACCAGCCTAGGGAACATGACAAAACCCCACCTCTATAAAAAAAATACAAAAATTAGCTGGGTGTGGTGGTGCATGCCTGTAGTCCCAGCTACTTGGGAGGCTGAGGTGGGAGGATTGCTTGAGTCCAAGAGGCAGAGGTTGCAGTGGGCTGAGATCACGCCACTGCACTCCAGCCAGGGTGACAGAGTGAGACCTTATCGAAAAAAATAAAAAGAAGTAGGATACATGCTCAGACACTTGATTCAATTTGACGAAGGCATCATGAAATTAAGAGACATGCTAACAAGACACTGATGCCTAGATGCAAGGAAATGCTAACCAGATACTGATGTTTAAATGGAGCAGTGATCGGGAGCTGATGACGAACGCTCTCTAGCATGTGACAGGGATAAATTTCCTCCATATGGGGTCTGATGAAGATCAGAGTGAAGCCAAGTTTATGCCAAGGGGGAAAATGTCTATTCACCTCACCATCCACAAAATGGACCCTAACATAAGCTGGACTGGCAGGAATGTGAGGTACAAATGAAAGTAAGCATTAATGCCTGACTGTGGACATGTGAATTAGACAAATAATGATTACCTAACATATTTCAACCCTGTCACTAACATTCTGGTGTTTTAAATTTGGCAATCATTCATCTATCATCCAAACAGTCTACAAAATACAAAGATACTAATGAGCCATCTTTAAAGATAAGCAAAAAGGAAAGATGGTCAAAAACTCCTTCTACTGTAATGAATATGTCAAAACCATCAAGTTACCAGCTGGTCATAATTTTTTAAAAAGCTGCAATGGTTCTTTTTGTTTTTAGGAGACAGGGTCTCACTCCAGGCTGGACTACAATGGCGTGATAACAGCTCACTGCAGCCTCAAACTCCTGGGCTCAGGTGATCCTCCCCTGCCTCAGCCAACCAGTAGCTGGGACTGCAGTGCAATAGTGTTTCTGATGAGCACAACAACAGTGAGATCTTCTTCTCCCACATATTTATAGTAACAACCTAGACGTCATTAAATTGAGAATCATACTCATGCCTTTATCCAAATTTCCAATCAGTTCAACTTCAGGACCTACAGGGAAAATATTTACCTTTGATGTCAACTGTGTCTTTTGCATAAAACTCTGTAACTGCCTGGAAAGCATGGCTGTATTCAAAATAAATGTTATCCATCCTTTCAACTCGAATTCTGTCATCCTGCACACTGAAAGAAAAAAGGAAAATTTCAAAGATAACTTGTCTATTATCATGAAATGCTGGTATTTAGGTCTCGGAAAAAAGATATTTATTCCTTATTCTTTCCCAAGTTGAAGAAAGAAAGAGAAAGAAAGAGCTAAAGTTTCTCTGCCAAAAAGCTCTATTTCATAAAATATTAAAATGAATACTTTTTATTAACTGCTATTTTATATCACCTAGCACATTGTGAGTTTTTTATCATTATTTAAAAAGAAAAACTCATTGAAATTAGGGTCCATTATGTTACTAAATATGAAGGAAGAAAAACTGAAAAGCATCATTTCGATTTGATTACGTTATTTGTTTAAATACTCTACCCACAGAATACGGCACTGAGTAACTCTTTCTTTGAGGGACTTTCTGCCAAATCTGCTTCTATCACAGTCTCCAGTCAAATATAGTAAATTAGGTTAACTCTCACTCTTTAAAGTGATTCTACAGTCCTTCTAAAAATATGTATAAAAATTTGCCTGAGTACATAAACAAAATCATATTATGCTGGGTTAGTGCATTTTCGTTTCCTATTTTTCTTGACTCCCTACTCCTTCATCCTTCTCTTCTTTCTTTAGCACCTCACTCCCATGACTGTTATCTCTCATGTTAACAGCCTAGAATGAATCTCTCCATATTTTTTCATGTTCATATTTTGGTCATACACAAGCATATCTAATATATGCTCATTATATATTATGTTACTATATTAAAAAACTGAGATGATTTTATAAACATATTTCTGTGTCCTGTTCTCTTCACTTAATAATTCTTGAAAGTCCCTCCACATAAAAATGACCTAGCTACAACTCCTTCTTTTTAATGGCTGAAAAATATTTCATAGTATATAGATGCCACAATTTCTTCAACTATTTCTTTGTCGTTTGATATTCATTTGGTGTTAATGTTTCGTCACATGTTGCTTTAAAACATTTTTATTTAAAAATATAAAACTTTAGTTACAGTTGTAGCCTGCACATATCCCTCCCTAATCACATCCCTCTACGATTTCCAGAAGAAAACGCTGGCTAGGCACAGTGGCTCAACACCTGTAATCCCAGCACTTTGGGAGGCCAAGGCAAGAGAACTGCTTGAGCTCAGGAGTTTAAGACCAGCCTGGGCAACATGGCTCTCTCTACAAAAAACACAAAAATCAGCCAGGCATGGTAGCACATGCCTATAGTCCCACCTACTTGGAAGGCTGACATGGGAGGATTACTTGAGCCTGGGGGGTCAAGGCTGCAATGAGCTGTGATCACACCACTGCACTCCAGCCCCGGGTAAGAGTGAAACTCTGCCTCAAATTTTTTAAAAAAATTAGTAAAAGAAAAGAAGCAAACATTATCTTGAATGTGATGTATATTACCATGTTTTCATTTTTTATAAAAAACTGTATCATTTCATGCTTTTCATTTTGTATGAGTGGTACTTTATCTTAACCATACAAATTGACTCAATGTTACACTATTTCTAAGATTTATACATGAAGATATATGTACTTTTTAAATTTTAACCGCAGTTAAGTATTTTGTTATTATATTTTCTAATAAATTTAAGATCTGCTTTCTGAATTTATTAACCAGAATTTATCTTTGTGGATAGTGTGAAGTTATAAATACAATTACATTTTCCATATAACTAATGATCAAAGTAGCAATTAGAGAGCATCCATATGTCTCTGCTGATTTATAATGTTACTTTCACTGCATATTGCATTTCTATATATGTCTTTGGCTTCTCCATGCTGTTCCACTGATCTTTTTGTCCATCTCTGAATCAGGACCACAGTCTCTTAATTTCCAGGGCTTGGCATCTATAGCTAAAGTGGCAAGGCCCCTACCTTGCTCTTCAAGATTGTCTTGGCTACTTCTGGACCTTTGATTTTCTTTGTAAATTTTAGGTTCACTTATCTTCTGTCTTCACAAGAAACTTGCTGTGATTATTTTATTTTATTTTATTTTATTTTATTTTATTTTATTTTATTTTATTTTATTTTATTTTATTTTTAGACAGAGTTTCACTCTGTCGCCTAGGCTGGAGTGCAGTGGTAATGGTACGATCAGGACTTACTGCAGCATCATCGACTTCCCAGGGTGAAGCAATCCTCCCTCATCAGCCCCAAGGAGCTAAGACTACAGGTATGTATTACCATGCCCAGCTAATTTTTTTCTATTTTTAGTAGATACGGGGTTTCGCCATGTTGCTCAGGCTGCTGTCAAACTCCTGGACTCAAGCGGTCTGCTCACCTCGGCCTCCCAAAGTGCTGGGATTATGGGCATCAGCCATTGCACTCAGCCCTTATTGGTATTTTGATTTGATATGTAATGAATTAATTTAGAGAGAAATAACATCTTAGAGATATCACATTATCAAAGCTGGTATATTCCTCTATTCATGTCTATTATATCCAACAGTAATGTTCTGTAATTTTCCCCATGAAGGTTTTATATAGCTTTGGTTGTGCTCACTCTTAGATATGTACACATACCTCTCTCGTCTTTATCTGAAACAGAAACAGGTGTTGGGAGGGGCCCAGCATCAGGGGACTCTATTGCACATTAAAGTTAAAGAACCACTGACCTATACAAATAAAAGACTGGTGCTATAATGAAAATTAGTAGATGATAGGAAAGAGTATTTACAAAGAGTATTCCCAAAGCAAAGGGTATTTCCTTTGGAAGCTTATCTTATGTATACTGATGTAGGTATATCTAATGATCTAAGTACATAAAAAGTTGTCTGTAAAGCTATACTATAAACAACTGAGTTAAGATAATTTAGAAAGTTTCTCAATATTTTTTTCTTTGGCTCCCTATGCAGAACACTTTCTTGGTCTCTACAGAAAACCGAAAAAAGACTTGAAACCATCCCCAGCACAAAAATAAAGCAAGCTTTTTTCTATTTTTATCATTTTCCTTCCTGAGCAAGGAGATCGTATGAGTTGATTTAAAAGTTCAATTACAATGCCTTATAATAAATAAATAGTGAAACTTTATTACCTATTTTGCTTAACAACTAGGTTAAAATTCAGAAGGAAGGATTTATGACAGAAAATCTATAGTGTATATATTTGTTTTTACTTCACAAAAACAGTTAAACAAATTCTCATGGGCGTATGCCATGCATCAATCACTCTTTCTTAGTTTACAATCTAAGACAACAGACAATAATGTGGTAGACATATGTAAAAGATACAGAAAATACATAAACACAAATGGCTATACCCCATCACAAAAGCAGAACACTCCCTCCCTCAACATTATGAAAAGTAGAAATAAATGTATCATTTCATCAATGTAACACATATTTGTAATTTTTTGGTATTTTTCTTGATATAATATTTTACTGAAATAATTTTTTGTTAGATTCAAGCAGTTTTTGTCTCCCTAAATCCTGCCATAAGAACAAAGAATAACCAAACTAAAACCCACAGATAACATGTACTACATTATGACTGCATCTCAAGATATTAAGAACCCTGAAATGCAAGCAGGTGGGATGAACAATAAGACATAAATGCTATCAGCAACCATGTGAGAAGCAGCAGACAGAAGCAACAGAACTCTAACAATCGGAAAACAGGAACAACACAAAACAGCAACCAGGTACTCACTGGAAAGTATAGTAGGATATTTTGAGGAGCTGAAATTGGGAGTGCAGGTTGTACATTTGATAATAGTGACTACAAGGAGTCCACAGTAAGGCCTGAAGGGGCTTGAGAACTCTAGGCCCTATGAACTCACAAAACCAATGGTGCAAAGCACTTTTTTAGGACAAATCTTACACTGAGGAAAAACTCCTATGAACAGAATCTAAAATGAGGAGAAAAGGGATAACAGGGTAATTGTTAAAAAGACAAAAGTACTACAGAACAGAGCCAGGAGAAAATGAGCTGTCACATTTGCAAATACTGAACAGTATGCAGCAAAATGAATGAATCTCAAAAATACCGTATTTTGTGAAAGAAATCAAGCCAAAAAAATGTTAATATATACTGTAAGATATCCTGTATTTGAAATTCTGTAAAAGGTAAAATATACTGGTGGAAAATTAATAATTGTCTACGGCCAGATGTGAAGGGAAGGGAGGGAACCAACTGCAAAAGCACATGAGAAAGTTTGAGGGTAAAAGTATTCTTCCACATCTTGACTGTGATAATGGTTACAAAATTGTGTAAAACTACCACTTACACTACAGTTGTGTAATCTGTACACTTAAAAATGAATGAATTGTTTATAAATAATACTTTGAGTTAAAAACCACTACCAGAACTATGATGTCAGAAAAGCTATTTTGAACCTACGCCTCCTCTAAAAGTTTGGGAAAATGAATTTGCATAAAAATGAGTAATAGAAAAGGACCAAACTCAAATCCTGTCCAAAGTTATGATAAGAAATAAGAGAATAAGCACAATAACATCTCTACAGACAATAGAATGTTAGACATCTCCATAAAACATGAAAACCCTAACAAGTTAAAAATATTATTAAGAAAACAAATTGGACTTAGAAAAACTCAGAAATGAATGGGCAGAACTCAGGAATTAGAGACAAAAGAAAAACTCACAATGAAGGACAGACTAGAAGGAACACAACTGAATAGATACTACAGATAATAAAGATAAGAAGCAGGAAATGAAAGGGGGAAATTTTTTCAAAGTCAAAAAGAAATGAAAAAGGAGATCTGAAAGACTGGAAGAAAGTAACAAATGGAAAAGCTTGGCAAAGAAGATCTAAAACGTTTATAAAAGGTGCTCCCAAGGTACAAACTTGCCAAAGAGGGCAAAGCAAAGACACAGAAAAATAACTTGACACTATATATTTAAAAAACACATCACATACCTGGGGAAATCAACCCATAATGACCACCACAATAAGTAATCTAGTAAAATTATTTCCAGCCAAAATGACAAGTTATTTATAAAAGAAAGAAAAACAGAGTTGCCAAACTTTAACAGCAATGTTTTTTATGCTACAG